AGCTAGTTTCCCGGCCGATCCCGTTGTTCCAACGGTCTATTACGACAAACGTGGACAATGACATTCTCAATTTTCCCACTGTAGCACATTTCCAATGAATGAAGGATACAACAATTTTACGTAAATATTAATTTATTTTCAGAGAATTACGGGATGTCTTGACGTCGTTGACAACGCGATATCAATGTCACTAGCACGATGTACATTTTAGCACTAGATCTAGTGCCGTTTTAGCACTAGATCTAGTGCCATTTTAGCACTAGATCTAGTAGTTTTTCGGATTAGTGCTACTAGCACTAACCACTCGCACTATGTCCATTTCGACACATTTACATACCTCAGCCCTGCATAAAAGTTGCAAGCGCAGCAAGAAAGCTACCAGCCCTGCATGAAAGTTACCAGCCCTGCATGAAAGTTACCAGCCCTGCAAGAAAGTTACCAGCCCTGCATGAAATTTACCAGCCCTGCATGAAAGTTACCAGCCCTGCATGAAAGTTACCAGCCCTGCATGAAAGTTACCAGCCCTGCATGAAAGTTACCAGCCCTGCATGAAAGTTACCAGCCCTGCATGAAAGTTACCAGCCCTGCATGAAAGTTACCAGCCCTGCATGAAAGTTACCAGCCCTGCATGAAAGTTACCAGCCCTGCATGAAAGTTACCAGCCCTGCATGAAAGTTACCAGCCCAGCATGAAAGTTACCAGCCCTGCATGAAAGTTACCAGCCCTGCATGAACGTTACCAGCCCTGCATGAAAGTTACCAGCCCTGCATGGAAGTTACCAGCCCTGCATGAAAGTTACCAGCCCAGCATGAAAGTTACCAGCCCAGCATGAAAGTTACCAGCCCTGCATGAAAGTTACCAGCCCTGCATGAAAGTTACCAGCCCTGCATGAAAGTTACCAGCCCTGCATGAAAGTTACCAGCCCTACATGAAAGTTACCAGCCCTGCATGAAAGTTACCAGCCCTGCATGAAGTTACCCATCCTGTAAGAAAGTGACAAGCCCTTCATAAAAGTTACAAGCCCTGCAAGCAAAAAGTAATTTCATACGCTGCTTTTGTCTGTATGACACAAACGGTAAAAGTCTCAAAGTACTGACTCTATGCTATGAATTATTGATTTTAACAGATGCATAACTTGCATATCACCACACTGTGAGGTTAGCAGATTGAAAACACGTATTACTATTGTGTGACGTCACATCTGTAGAACTTGCCATAAAGGCTGTTCAGAGCTTCTGGGTTTACATTGTTTTACAACCACAGATCGTGGTACTATTTTGGCAAGCTCCTGTGTGTATTTTCGTAATTATTAATTGAAAGTTAAACAAAATCCTAGCAACTTGAAGCAAATATCATGAATGCAGAGAATTGCCACACAGTATACATAAGGCATTTTCATGACATAGAACACCATGGCCTCAACAAAATTACCATACGAGGCAAGCACAATGATATATTTGCATTCAGAGTTATTCTAACAATAGTTACAATGAAAATATTTCACTTTGTCATTCTGCGGTAATAAACATGTAATAAATATATAATCCCATAATATTTTCTCCTAGGTTAATAATGTCAGCAGATATTTGTGATTACTGGCAGAGAATTGATAGAAAACTCTGGCGGTAATCATTCGTATCTGCTGACATCAACTGACATCAAAAGTCACTTACCTTTTTCTAGAGAAGCTACTCCTAAAGGCTGTGCTGTGTGTAATGTAAGTCTTGATGTATCATCTTCTAGATATGCCATCAGTGGCATTGGGTAAACATTACCTTGCAAGGGAACTTTGGTCAAATATTTCCGTTTTTGAATCTAATGAAAGAAAAAATGAATCTGTCTTCATGCCATGATTGATTGAGGTATCGGTGCAACTTACCTTATTAGGAAATGCAATTGCCAAATAAAGAATGATTGTGAGATAATTAAAAAAAACATTGCTTATAATAAATAAAGTTTATCACACTTTGATTTCTTCCAGGCACTCGGCAATTAGACCAAAAATATTGTATGAATAGAGGTTATTATCATATACCTTGTATTGCCTAGCTTCGTAACACTATGGGAAGTGCGCCCTCACATCAGGCAATAATTTCCCGTATCTCGCCTGGCTTTCATAAATCAAAACAAAACATGTCATTCTAAATTTCATTGTGTGGTTGCGGTCACACCATGGTAAAATTGTAATTACACCTGTAAGGTATACGATAAAACCTTTATGGACTGGATACGGTACGG